ACATGTGTCACGCACAGACATATGTTGAAGAGTTGCGGACGTTTATATGACCATTTGTTTGCACTTGCACAACGATGCCAACAGGAACATGAGTATCGAAACACCAGAAGCGAAAATGTGATATGAAGCGCTGGTACTTACGTCGATGGTAGCCCTAGACACTACTCATAAATCAAGTTGAACCCATGACACCTAACTAAAATTGACGTTTGCCCGACGTGACGGCTGTATCCTATAGGAGCACATTTGTAATGTTTATAAAATTGGATGTCCAGCCCTGCAACCACAATTGACGTTTCACAAACATTAGGGTCTATTCGAAAAGCGGTTCGGAGACCTGACGTAGTTCTGTGGTGGAATACTTGATCGCCACGCAGAATGCTTGGGTCTGAGACCCTGAAATTTATCCTTTGCATTTGTCCGGTAAACGCTGCTGATGTCAGGTTTTTCTTAATGCTGACGCGTTAAAATTGCCCTTGTGCGCTTTCGTCATTCCTGGGTTGATACTAAGGCCCGATTTTACAAACCAACCTTGGCTTTACCTCACGTTTTCCTCAAGTTCATGTGCTCTCTACGTGCGTTATAAAAGTAGACGAATGGTAACATGCTTAAACTCAACTACAAGAATGGTTCATGCATACTGGCCCCCATGGTCCATCAAGCGCTATAGAGGCTTAAAACCGATAAGGAAAACTCGCGGTAAAGTTGACGTTGGTTTGTGAATACGGGCTTAAGTGAATCATCAGGGGCACATATACCCGCATACCAGTGGCACATACCCGCCCGCGGTGTCTGGAGGGAAGCGTTCGACGACGTACACGACGGAAATGTGGCATTATTTATGTCTTGACCAGCGCGTCACATTCGCGAAACCATCTCAATCTCCCAATACTAATTTTGGTTCATGGCCAGTTAAAGGGGTCATCACGAGAGCACCCACATGTAAGCGGATAGATAGATAGATAGATAGATAGATAGATAGATAGATAGATAGATAGATAGATAGATAGATAGATAGATAGATAGATAGATGCAAAAAGTGCTTGCAGTACGGAAAGAAATGCTTCTCATTTAAACCATCTATATATTTAACTGCTCTTACATCGACGATATTGTCACCCGAATAAAAACAATACATCACACGCCAACTTACAACCTTATACAATATTGGCAACTTTCGCCGCCTAGAGAGGGCGCTAGTGTAAGTCCAATATGGCTGTCGTTTGAGCGATCGTGCAGACGCCACCAGATAATGTGTCCGTCCCTTCGAACTGTGTAGTTTTTTCGGCTGTAGCCACCATGTTGTCAAGGATTTGATTAGAAGGTCATTGACTCTAGCACGTATTATTTCCCGCACTGGGTGTTGGGCAACGAATAGCGGTGCATTATCGAAGGAGAAGAACTGTAGAACGCCGGGCACATTATTTGCTGCGGTGTGAAGGATTTGCACGAACTTCGTAAACAGCATTTGAGTATTGCGCATGCAGACTTCCCGACCATGGGAATATCCGCACGACCCGTGGTCCGAATTCAGACGATCTCTCTCTGTCTCTCTGTAGTCTTCCTGTCGCTTTGAATCTTTTTCATACTTTCCTTCCTTCCTTTCTTTTTAGCTACGACAAGCGGCAGACCTTGGCCACAACAGCTCTGCTTTTAGTAATAAAATATGACCCCTTGAAATTTGCGCAATGTACAAAATACAACACCGCTAAACTTCTTAGGAGATCAAGGGCGCTTCTGAAACGCGGGTAATATACCTGAACAAATATTTCTGTAGGGCTTATTTAACAACGTTGTGGGTGCGGTCATTACACGAACATATACGCGGTAAACAAAAAGTAGTTTATCGGAGAGTAGAAGGGATTCGTGGCAGTAATACGTGCACTGCACGCACAGTCTGCCTGCTTGCGTATCGCGTTGTTCATAAATAGACGGCGAAACGCGCGCGCCATGACACCGTAATTGAAGGCTTTCGCCGTGGCTGGCCCTCGTAGACCGCTTGGCGCCACAGGAAGCAATTACCCATGTGGCAATATTTTCCATAAATCGTTCTTCAGAGGACAGCCAGCGGGCAAGATGTGGAAACCACGCTCGTAATGCTGCAAGGTCAGGAGTGCTAGGCCATCATGTATTAAGAAAAAGAAGCCCGCGCCCTCTGTTGCCACGTGTGCGCACTCGCTACAGTTTGTTAGCACTATACGCAATAAATGAAGCGAGAGTCGTTTAACTCTTATTTGTCAGTTCTGAGTGAGTTGCCACGTGCATATTTCGCTTTAAAGAAACGGCCGAAAGGGTAAAAGGTCGAAGCTTGCCATGAAAAAAAAAAATAAAAAATCGGTAAACGGGGGTCCGAGCCGACGTTTGGGCAAGTAGACTTGTCTTCATCAAGGCCAGTTCTAGCCTTGAAGGAGACAAGCCCTAGACGACTCAGCATCACTGGTTGCCTTGAAGAGGACATATCCGTTTGTCGATACGCCGGCTCGAGCACGCAGTCTGTTTGCCGATTTTCTCATTACTCAAAGCAGAGAGAGAGAAAAAAAACAGTAACTCGTAACTAAATTCTCGCTGGAAATTCGTGGGACCCAAAAGAGGCTCGTACTGGTCTCTTTAAGGAGAGTCGTACAGGACTCACTGCGACTAACACGTACATTTATTATTTCTTTAAACAGAGCATGGCTTCAGCGGCGAGCAGTTTTGCCGAAAAGTCCTCTTTAGGCTCAGCGTGGTCTGAACATGTGGTGACAAACTTGCTATAAATTGTTCACAGCATGCTTATTCTTCGTGTATGTGAAAGGGGAAGACTATCGATATTATCGAATTAGCAGATTTAGAGAATAGGTGCACAATTTGGCGGGAGACTTTTAAACGTTCAGTCCCACTGTTGGCGTCCAGTGCACTTTGCGAATGAACTGGATATCTAATTTCACTCCTGGGAATTCAGCCTTCAGTCCTGCGTTCTGTACCAATATCACTGATATCCTCTCGTTGCAACAGCTCTAGATCACTCTGAAACAACAGTAACATTAGAGCGACACCAGATTAATTGATTGATCTGTGGGGTTTAACGTCCCATAACCACTATATGATTATAAGAGACGCCATAGTGGAGGACTCCGGAAATTTCGACCACCTGGGGTTCTTTAACGTGCACCCAAATCTGAGCACACGGGCCTACATCATTTCCACCTGCACCGGAAATGCAGCCGCCGCAGCCGGGATTCGATCCCGCGACCTGCGGGTCAGCAGCCGAGTACCTTAGCCACTAGACCACCACGGCGGGGCGACACCAAAAAAGAGACAAATATTTCAAAGGTCTTCCTGATAAAGCGAGACGAATTGGTGCCTTTGTCAAAAGGGTTTCGGTGAAATATACCTTCACAAGCTTTGCAGGCTCCTGTGAATGAATTTGGTACGTCGTTTAATCTATATTTTGTACAATCAGAGTTCCTGTCATAGGGTTGTAGACTCTCTTGGCCCTCTGATGTGTCGGGTGAGTATACTGAAAATTCTTATGCCAGGATCTTCCGTATCCATTGAGCTATTCGCCTTGTTCTGTCAGAATAACGAGTGCTTTTTTTTTTTTCCGCAAAGCTCTTTGGTCCTGGTGACGTGAACTCTGAATGAACAATACAAATAACTTGAATCCAAGAACTCGTGAGCGAGGATTGGTGTTCAGTCGCAAGGATACTGAAGATTAGTGCGACAATAATACCCAAACTTTGAAAAAACAAGGCGACAAACTTTCAAGACGGATATAACGGCTTGTAAAGTATGAATATCGATTTACTTTTGACTTGATATTTGTGTGGAATACTTAACATAATTTTGACAATGCACCTTGCAAGCGCCTTCGAAACGAGGATGTATAGACTATTGTGGCACATGCCAAGAGTCCTTTGTTTTTTGTTTGTCAAAAACTAATTCTGCCTTAGAACCATGCTACACTGTTTTGCAGTTTGCCGTCTTTCTACGAAAGTCTCACACCTTTATGGGAGACAGTATTTTCATGATTATGAACAACGACAAAAGAAGTACAAAGTAAAGCAAGAGCATAAAAATAAAATGCTCAATAAAGATTATACGGAAACAACGATAGCCGTTTTCGCGTACGCTTCTTTTATTCCTACAATTGAAAAATACAAAAAAAGAAACACTGTTCGTTCGCGCCCATAAAAAATACAACACTCAACAGGCAATATATAAATTTGTGTATAATATATGTATACAAAAAGAGGCACACTAACTATGATGCATACAGTTGTACAGCAGCAGTTTCGTAAGCAACTACTTCGGAGTATATCTGCCATCCAGGCACAAGGTGGGATCATGTGACGTGAGGTCTCCGCATCCGCCAAGCCGGACGATGAGTGCAATGCCAACAGAATAGTTTGGAACGGCCAAGCACACTGCTTAGGCGGCGCGATTAGACGGGCGCATAGGGGGGGGGGGGGGGGGCTTCATCTATAGTCACGTAATTTATGAGGAGGGGTTGCAAAGCCAGCTCCATACATTGAACTAATAGAAAGGGGGGAGGGCGCTGCGACAAACCTTCCTCCCCCCCCCCCCCCCCCCCCCTTCCTTGAGGGAAACCCGGCGCACGCCTATGGCTGCGCGCATGTGTTATCATGCACTGTGTTGTTCTCTTGTGAGAAACCGTGATATGAGATGCGATAAAATTCGCGACCGTCCCCGAACTAAAAAAAGAGTCCTACATTTGTACGTGGCTATCGCACCTTTGGTACCGTTCGGTCAAAAGTGGAACCTTTTATTGAAGACCTAACGCGAAGACCTTCAACCGGTCTCTGTCGGCGCATGCGCAGATGGCTCCACGGGGAAGCGGGCAGCATTCTACATTCATAATGAGGCAAGATTTGCACACCTGCCATGAAATAGCAAAGAAACTTTAAAAAAATACATGGTTCGACGTGTCCTATTAAAGAGAAAATGACAAAGAGACATTGAAACCAAAACTAAGTGAACGCATTCTTTGGTCACGTCAGTGGAAGTGAAGCGAGGGAGATGTGTTTTGTAGAACTGCACTAAAGGTTGCTTGCTTGGCGAATTGGCCCGTAACCTTGAACGAACAGGAAGCCAGGGAAAGGACGCAGGGGAAAAAGCGCAAACAGTAGGATTTGTCCTGACGACAGGTCAGCCGACCACCACAGTTTTCATGTGTCCCAAATGATACCACACAGATAGACAAACAAATTTAATGAAGTCCCGAGCTTGCGTGTTTTGCATTGCCTCCATGATCAAAAGCGAGGCGTCGAATGTCTCCAATACCGGAGGCAATGTGAGACACACGTTGGGTGCTGAAACCTTTCGACGGCATCAATGCAATCGACCAATACAAAAAAAGTCGACGGCTTTCGCTTGCAAGTCCTCTTAAGCAGGACGCATTAGGGACCACGTGACTTTTCACGTACAGCGCTCGTCCTTCTATTTTCTTTGCGTTTCGCGAACACCCTGTTCTCTGGTTACCTGTTCATTCGCGGAACTGTACGAACATACAGGGCGCCTTTTCACGCCAGAGTAATACAGTTGCACGAAACGACACGATTCCAAGATCCAGGAAAAGAACCGCTCTTCCTTGGCCGTCAGGCTCGTTAAGGCGAATCCGTTTTCCGCCAACATTACACGCTCCATTAGAGATGCGTGTACACCGGAACGGGCTGGTAATTTTGTCATTTTCCTGCCACTTTCGCGGTTCAGACTAGATAAATAGATCGGGCAAAGTTGTGCACGTCGTTGGCACTAAAGAAAAACACCAAATGAACTTATTCTCACGAACGTCTGCAAAAAAAAAAAAAGTTGGGCGGGGGGGATAATTGCATCCAACAGCGGTGAGTAGCAAATCATAATTGCGATAATTCACTGTTTCGGACATCCTTGTTTACTGCCGCGATTCGTAAAAGGTATGAAAATATTAATTATAAAAATATGATTGACCGCATGAAAAGAACAAATTTTATTAGCACGACCTAGGGGGACGGTTGGCTGTTGCATTTATTAATGTTCTCTCCACACGACCCACGTGTCCCACTGAACGCACCTTTTCCGAACAACCCACGCTACGCCGTAGACGACGAGCATAGCTGAGCTGTGGCGCGAGCTATGACGCGATCATTATGATGATCTATAAAAGCTTATCCTATCAGCCAGCCTGTTCTTTAAGATCCCTTACTCATCCATCTTTTACATCGAGCCGTCATGGGGGCAGTGAGTTCATCCGCGCTCGCACATAGAAAACTGCTTGTCCCAATTCGCTGCTATACCGGTCTCCGCAAGAGTATTTGATAGTTACAATGATGCCAAGTCAGCAAATCAATTACACGTCATCAAAAGCTGAACAACAAAAGAGGAAATAGAAAGGAGTGTACAGTACGGGTAACTATCATAGAGAACAGAGAAACAATATTCAGAAACTAAATATGGCATATTTCCACACAAATGTATAGACACAGTAACGCTTTACTATCAGACGTTTTCTAACCACAACGCGTCAGCACCCTTTTTATACAATGTTTGCAATACACTGACACTATATTCGTCTATCTAGTTGTTCTAACTGACAATGTACCATAGTGTACTTCGCTAAGCAGTGTAACAAAGCTCGTTCACACAGACACGCTTAAATAGTGGGCGTTCTATTTGTAACATATATACGTGCTTCGAAGGGAGCGAAAACACTTAAATGATACGTGTTTGGATGAACAAAATACAAGGCAAAGTACGAATGTCTTCTAAGGTTGAAATGAGGCCTGTATGGATGGCTTCAGGCATGTCTATGCAGTGAACACTTCAGCGCCATACTCAATATAACAGCATAAAAATACAAATGTGCGCACAAAATAAAGAAGTATATGTTGCCTTATCTTCTCTCTCTCTCAGGAGATGTGAATAAAATTATTACACATGATAAACCTTAAAAAACTACTTAAAAAACTACACACAAACTTCTTATAGCGTGACGTCTTCGCTTTCCTTATGGCAAGGTCACGCAAGGCATGCAGGTAGCAAAATCAAAGAAGGGAAGAGGGTACCACTATAGCGAAAATCTCATACGAGATAACACTTGCTGAATTAGGCCAATCAGTGACGTGAAAATGCTATTCAGAATGCTTAGCGCAATAAAGCTTTGTGCCACTTGCAAGGTCTGGAATACTGAGCACAAATATTATAGGCAAATCCTTTCCCTCTTTTTGTATCACTCTATGCCCACATCATCTGTTTCTGTGCAATCGGCATCACATTGACCATTTTCGTGACACTCGCACAAAACCGGGAGCCTTTAGTTCGTCTACGTCATCAGCTTTCGTTTAAGTGTTTGGCTCGATTGCGATTCACAGATCCTCTGGAAAACTCTAATTTGACGGAGCCCAGTAAAATAACGACTCGAACCTCGACGACACTTGGTGTCCCAAGTGGCGCACCAGCCACCAATCTCAAAGGCTGTGATTTTATGTACGGCAGGCACCGGATTCGATTGCGGAAGCAGAAAACACCTAATGGCCGCACAGATTTTGGTGCTATAGTCAACTATATATAGCATATTGTAATTAACTACAGACACCAACTAGGGACGCTGTATTAGGCACTGTCAAATTCGGTAACGGAGTCATTTTCAAAGCCTATCAGAGAGGCCGGTGGAGCTCCCTTGGCTAATGAGAGTTGAGACGATGGTGAATTTGACAACATGGCGCAATTATACAGAGTCCCGAAGCGCAACCATAGCCACGGGAATTCCGGACAACTATGGCCCAGCGTGCCAAACAAGTGGGTGCTATTCTAGACGCGGTCAACTACCGCCACAGCCATACAGTCGTATTTCGTAACGGTGGCATGTTTGAGGCGATCAGAAAGGCTATAGCAACCTTCATGGCCAATCAGGGTTGAACAATAGTGGACAATGTCCCTAATGGCACCCATAACTCGTCCAGACCAAGCTGTTTCTCGTCTGTTTTACCGTCTACTACTCTCGGAGTCTGTGCTGGCGTCATCATTGCTACTGCGATGGCGGTGAACCCTCGGATGATGAGGCCTTTCCGTCGACGTCGTAGTGATTTCCGCAGATTGGCCACCCGTCTCTTCTTCCTGCGTCCTGTGCTGGCGGTGGTGAGCGTGGTGATAGCGGTTATTCTCGCGTACATGCCCCACAGAAGATGACTCTCCCTGCTGCTGTTGACTAGCAGACGACAGCTCAGGCTCGGAAACAGACGACGCGACTAGAGCGGAAGTGTCGTAGCGGACGCGGTCTCGGCGCTCGAGCGCCACCATGTGGCAGCACTTGTGGAAGATGGTGCCGTGATCGCCCACAACACACTGCTCGAAGGTGCGCATGAGCCTGTGACCGTAGTCCGGGATCCGATTCCGGCCGTAGAAGCCCATCTTCCGGTTGTGAGCCCGATTCCGGTTCCGCATCCGGAGACGCGCCGCGTAGAACTTGGCGAAGCAGTGGTAACCCTTGTCGCCCGCGATCTGTCCCAGCATGCAACACGTGATGTCCCGCTGGTTCTCCCAGCCTGAAAAAAACAACAACAACAAAAAACGACGGTTCAGTCAATGCGACCAATTTACGCCAACGTAAACGACACCTTAACGGGACACTAAAGAAAAAAAATCAATTTATCTCGCATTATTAAAGAACTCTTTCACTATACCATAATCACAGCGCTTGCCGCCAGAATACGGTTGGTAAGCCAGAAAATGTGCAATAATGAACGTAGGCAGCATTTATGTGCGCGCCACCTCCGAGCACATTAAGGTTTTCTAAATGAACGCAGGTGGCGACGCCACCTTTCATTTTCCGCACCAATCGCCATGACGTCATATACTTTGGATGCGTCTGCAACTGCTTAGGTCGTTTCTAAACGGTAAAATGAAGTACACTGTCCACCGAGGAAGCCGGTGACGCGACATACCAAGTTGCGAAAAATTACTTTCGGCCCGTGGGGCCCAAATACGAAAAGTTCGCTTCTAAATCCGTGACGTCACGAGAGAAGATTTCAGCGCGAAATTAAAAATAAATGTAGTTTGACCTCGATTGAATCCTTTATTAGTCAACCTATAATGGTGAAATTAACGACAGTGAATTTTTCAGATAAAAACTCATCAGTCTAATGTGATTTTCGTTTCACTTAAATTTTCAATACACCTTACCACTTTATAGTAAAAATAATATTAACAATAATAAAACAATATTTTATTATTATGTAGTGGTTTACGTCCCAAAACCACTATATGATTATGAGGACGCTGCATTGGAGGGCTTCGGAAATATAATGCACACCAACCATAAATATCATGCACACCAATCAATCTAAAAACTCAATTTCACCGAAAAAGAGTAACGTTTGCGGTGAAAAAAGATGGGAAGGTACAAAACTGTCCAACGACAGCTTGATATAACACCAGCCTCCCCCGGCATTACAACGACAGTGTACGACACTTCACCTGAGCAGAAATAAAAACAGGAAAAAGTGACAATGCAAACTTTATGCAAGCAGTTACACATTTAATCTTCTTAATGTATTTAACAGAATACCAATCAAGAAGGGTGTAAGACAGGGGGACAGAATCTCCCCAATGCTATTTACCGCGTGCTTACAGGAGGTTTTCAGAAGCCTAGAGTGGGAACAGTTAGGGATAAGAGTTAATGGAGAGTACCTTAGTAACCTGCGCTTCGCCGATGACATTGCATTGCTGAGTAACTCAGGGGACGAATTGCAACTCATGATTACGGAGTTAGACAAGGAGAGCAGAAAGGTGGGTCTTAAAATGAATCTCCAGAAAACGAAAGTAATGTACAACAACCTCGGAAAAGAGCAGCGCTTCGAGATAGGTAATAGTGCACTTCAATTTGTAAAAGACTATGTCTACTTAGGGCAGGTAATAACCGCGGAGCCGAACCACGAGATTGAAGTAACTAGAAGAATAAGAATGGGGTGGAGCACATTTGGCAAGCACTCTCAAATTATGACAGGTAGATTGCCACTATCCCTCAAGAGAAAGGTATATAACAACTATATCTTGCCGGTACTTAGCTACGGAGCAGAAACCTGGAGACTTACAAAGAGGGTTCATCTTAAATTGAGGACGACGCAGCGAGCAATGGAAAGAAAAATGGTAGGTGTAACCTTAAGAGATAAGAAGAGAGCAGAGTGGATTAGGGAACAAACGGGGGTTAAGGATATTGTCACGGGGTCGTGACGTGGCCGAAGACAGGAGACTTCGTGTTGGGATTTAACTGTTTATTTGGGCGAACCTGTGCCCGCTAAAGGGAAAGTCTAATTACAGCAGCAGTCTTGCACAGATAGCAGTCTCGGACTGATAGCGGCGAACGCAGCGTCGGCCTTCGATCAACAACTGACAAGCGGCGAAGCGCGTCGGCATTTATACCCTTGCCGTCGAATGTTCTAGCGTTATCGCTGGCGGTGGCGTAGGTTCCAGAACAATCTGTACCGTTACTACAGTCCGGAACCTTCTCGAAACCTGCAGGCGCGGTTTGCGCCGAGAATCGTGTGGTGTTTCGGAACGATAACAAAAATTTGTGAAATGGAACGTGGCATTGCCCCCCTCTGAAAAAAGGCATCGTCCCGATGCTTTAACTAAAGATGAAGGTACAATAATAATGAGAGAAAGTACAATGAATAAATTACAATACAACAATAATACAAAAAAACACTGTTTCAGTTTGTTAACGTGCATGAAACGGCTTGAGGTGCGCGACATGGACGACTTCAGGTCGCGATCGGCGTCGTTGAGAGTTCGTGATGCCGTCGGGGACAACCTCGTAATCAAGTGGGCCGAGACGTCGAACCACCTTGTACGGTCCGAAGTACCGTCGCAGAAGCTTTTCACTTAGTCCACGTCGGCGTATCGGCGTCCACACCTAAACACGTTCACCGGGCTGGTATTCCACGAAGCGTCGTCGAAGGTTGTAACGGTGGCTGTCGGTCGTCTGTTGATTCTTGATACGAAGACGCGCAAGTTGTCGGGCTTCTTCGGCGCGTTGAAGGTACTCGCTCACATCGAGGTTTTCTTCGCCGGTGACGTTGGGTAACATGGCATCGAGCGTCGTTGCCGGGCTCCTTCCGTGGACCAATTTGTATGGAGATATCTGCGTCGTCTCCTGCATCGCCGTGTTGTATGCGAAAGTCACATACGGAAGAATGGCGTCCCACGTCTTGTGTTCGACATCGACGTACATTGACAGCATGTCGGCGATCGTTTTGTTAAGCCGCTCGGTGAGGCCGTTGGTCTGTGGGTGGTACGCTGTCGTCCGGCGGTGGTTTGTTTGGCTGTATGCCAAGATCGCTTGAGTTAAGTCGGCAGTGAATGCCGTTCCTCTGTCGGTGATAAGGACCTCCGGGGCGCCGTGACGTAGGACGATATTTTCGACGAAGAACTTAGCTACCTCGGATGCACTGCCTTTTGGCAGGGCTTTTGTCTCGGCGTAGCGGGTGAGGTAGTCGGTAGCTACCACGATCCACTTGTTTCCGAAAGCCGACGTCGGGAACGGCCCCAGTAGGTCCATACCAATCTGCTGGAAAGGTCGGCAAGGTGGATCAATTGGCTGCAGAAGTCCCGCTGGCCTTGTCGGCGGTGTCTTGCGTCGCTGACAGTCCCGACATGTCCTTACATAACGAGTGACGTCGGTGGTAAGACGTGGCCAGTAGTACCTTTCTTGTATCCTCGCGAGCGTGCGGGAAACACCGAGGTGCCCTGCCGTCGGATCGTCGTGCAGGGCCTGCAAGAGTTCTGGTCGCAGAGCTGAAGGCACCACAAGGAGGTACTTAGCTCGAAGCGGTGAAAAGTTTTTCTTTTGTAGAAGACCGTTTCGTAGAAAGAACGACGCAAGTGCGCGCTTGAATACCTTCGGGACTTCGGCGGTCCTGCCTTCGAGGTATTCTATTAGGGCTTTAAGTTCCGGGTCGGCCCGCTGTCGTTCAGCGAAGTCGTCGGTAGTTATCGTTCCCAAGAAGTAGTCGTCATCCGAGTCGTCGGGTAGCGGTTGGTCGACAGGCGCACGAGAGAGACAGTCAGCGTCGGAGTGTTTTTTGCCAGACTTGTAAATGACAGTAATGTCATATTCTTGAAGTCTCAGGCTCCATCGTGCGAGGCGACCTGAAGGGTCCTTCAAGGTGGCTAGCCAACACAAGGCGTGGTGGTCGCTCACAACTTTGAAGGGCCTGCCGTAGAAGTAGGGGCGAAATTTCGACGTAGCCCAGATGATGGCGAGGCACTCCTTTTCTGTTGTGGAATAATTTGCTTCTGCTTTAGATAGCGATCGGCTGGCGTAACTAATAACCCTTTCAAGTCCGTCAGCCCTCTGCACAAGAACGGCGCCAAGACCTACGCTGCTTGCGTCAGTACGTATTTCTGTCTCGGCGAATTCGTCGAAATGGGCAAGTAACGGAGGCGTCTGGAGGCGATGTTTAAGCTCCTGGAAAGCGTGTTCCTGCGGCGTTTCCCACTTAAACTCCACGTCGGCCTTGGTAAGGTTAGTGAGAGGGTCCGCGATGCGGGCGAAGTTTTTCACGAACCGCCTATAATAGGCACACAGGCCCAGAAATCGGCGCACGGCTTTCTTGTCAGTGGGCGGCGGGAAGTCGGCGATAGCGGCTGTTTTCCGTGGATCGGGACGAACTCCAGACTTGCTGATAGCGTGCCCCAGAAACAAGAGCTCCTCATACGCAAATCTGCACTTTTCTGGCTTCAGTGTGAGTCCGGACGTTTTGATGGCTTGAAGTACAGCTTCAAGGCGTCGAAGATGCTCGTCGAAACTCGAGGAAAACACGACGACGTCGTCCAAGTACACAAGGCAAGTCTGCCACTTCAATCCTGCCAGTACTGTATCCATAACGCGTTGAAAAGTTGCAGGCGCTGAGCAAAGGCCGAAGGGCATCACCTTAAACTCGAAGAGGCCGTCCGGTGTTATAAACGCCGTCTTCTCTCGGTCTCTTTCGTCGACTTCGATTTGCCAATAGCCAGTCTTGAGGTCCATTGACGAGAAGTACTTGGCGTTATGGAGCCGATCAAGGGCGTCGTCTATTCGTGGGAGAGGATACACGTCCTTTCTTGTGATTTTGTTCAGGCGGCGATAATCGACGCAGAAACGTAGGGTCCCATCCTTTTTCTTCACTAACACCACGGGGGATGCCCACGGACTCTTGGACGGCTGGATAATGTCATCTCGCAGCATTTCATCAACTTGTCTCTTCATTGCCTCACGTTCTCGCGTCGAAACCCTGTACGGACTCTGACGGAGTGGTCTGGCATTTTCTTCGGTTATGATTCGATGTTTCGTGATTGGGGTCTGCCGAATTTTCGATGACGACGAAAAGCAATCTTCGTATTGCAGGAGCAGGGCCTTGAGCTGTTCTTGCTTATCGTTCGGAAGTCTGGGATTGACGTCGAAAGCTATGGGAGGGGCTTGGTTCCTCTGAGCAGGTTCCGCAGAATCGACAAGGGCGAAAGCACTGGTGGCTTCGACAATTTCTTCGATGTATGCGACCGTTGT